CGACTGTGCGACTGAACAACAACAAATATATATGTTGTTGTTGTTCAGTCGCACAGCCTCCTGTCTTCCACCGTCCTCTGAAGTTTGCTCAATTTCATGTTCGTTGCATCGATGACACTGTCTAACCATCTCATCCTTTGCCGTCCCCGTCTTCTTTGACCTTCAGTCTTTCCCAGCATCTATAGAATCATAGAATGTTAGAGTTGGAAGGGGACCTTGCAGGTCATCTAGTCCAGCCCTCTGCACTCTGCAGGAGCAGAGCCGAAAGACAGCCCTACACATACCCGAAAGATGGTCATCTCGTCCAGCCTCTGCTCGAAAACGTCCAGCGAAGGCGCATCCACCACCTCCCGAGGCAGTCTGTTCCACTGCTCAACCACTCTTGCAGTTAGGAAGTTTCTCCTGATATTTAGCCGGTATCGACTCCCTTGTAATTCCCACCCATTCGATCTAGTCTTGCAATCCGGAGCAAGAGAGAATAGATCCGCTCCACCTTCTACATGACAGCCCTTCAAATACTTGAAGACTGCAATCGTGTCCCCTCTAAGCCTTCTCTTTCCCAGGCTAAACATCTTTCGTCTTTGACTTAAATTGCTAACCCAATAAAAGTGTGTACAAATATCGACAACCCAACAGTGTTCGTTTGAGTCTGTTGCCAGACAAACCGAAATAGGACCCTGTAAAAAGGTAAAGGTTCCCTTGCTGGAAAGCCAGTCGAATCCGACTCTAGGGTTGCGGTGCTCATCTCCGTTTCAAAGCCGAAGAGCCAGCGCTGTCCAAAGACGTTTCCGTGGTCATGTGGCCGGCATGACTAGACACCAAGGCGCACGGAACCCTTCCCACCGAAGTGGTACCTGTTTATCTACTTGCAATGTCTTGCTTTCGAACTGCTAGGTTGGCAGGAGCTGGAACTAGAGACAGGAGCTCACTCCGTCATGCACCCTGTATCTGTATCTATATATCTGTCTATCTATATCTATCTATATTTAATAATTCGTATAATTTCGTAGTATGTAATACTGTATTCATATTAAAAACTGTATTTGTATATTTCTAGTGTCTACACACACAATTCCAGCCACCGGCCTTAGAAAGGCCGCAGGGGCACTCTGAGGCAGGCGGATGAGGAAGACGCCTAAGCAGCGCCCGGGCCGCGGGTCCTCGCGCTTTCCCATCCCGGCTTCCCCCGCGGCGCCGCTCGCTCTTTCTCGCCGCCATCTTGGGACGGTGCCGTCGAGGTGAGAGCGGGGAGCGGGGGTTAGGGCTGGGCTGCTTCTCCGGGGAAAAGGCCGCGCCCCCGACCCCGTCTCCTGTTCCCAGCAGTGGGCAGCTACTGAAGTTCTCCCTGATAGAAATGGCAAAGAAGGGCCCTATAGGCAGCACCCCTACCCTCGGAGCTTCATAGAACCTCCAGCTTCAGGAGCAGAATCCTGCATTCTATTGGTGGCAGGGGGGCAGGCAGTTGTAAGGGGCTGTTGCCTTTGCGCCCGGCCTGTTGATTTTTCACAAGGGCCTGTTGCAAAGAGAAGGGCTGGATTACATTTGGGGGGGGGGTCTGCGCCTTTTTTAAAAAAAACATGAGGAGGAGGGGATTGGATTTATACACCGCCCTTCACTACCCGAAGGAGTCCCAGAGCGGTTTACCATCTCCTTTCCCTTCCCCTCCCCACAACAGACACCCTGGGAGGGAGGTGGGGCTGAGAGACCTCCTGAGAGAACTGCTCTTTCAAGGACAGCTCTGAGAGAACTGTGGCTTGTCCAAGGTCATCCAGCAGCTGCATGTGGAGGAGTGGTGGACTCAAACCCGGTTCTCCCAGATTAGAGTCTGCTCCCTTAACCACTACACTAAAGTAGTGGGAGCTGGTGTTGGGGGGGGTCCCCCTTCAAAACCACACAGCCGACAGGCAACACTCCCTCTAAGCTGTGGAGTGTTCCCTCTAAGCTGAGTTGGTGTGAGCTAGTTCACAGTTTTTTTAGCCTCTGGCTCACACTTTTTTGTCTCAGCTCAGGAAGGACGGCTCCAGGGCAAACTGATTTATGCAGTAGGCAAATCGCTCGCTCACGACTTTAATGCCTGTAGCTCACAAGGTAGAATTTTTGCTCACAAGACTCCACATCTTAGAGGGAACATTGGTTGTGAGCGAGTGATTTGGCTGCTGCGTGAATGAGTTTGCTCTGGAGCCGTCCTTCCTGAGCGAAGACAAAGATGTGTGAGCCGGAAGCTAAAAACCTGTGTGCTAGCTCACACTAACTCAGCTTAGAGGGAACACTGCCCACAGGTTCCTCTAGACTTCCAATGTGGAGATAATACTAACTTACCCTACAGGGCAAGAGTAGGTGTAGGGTTGCCAGCTTCCAGGTGCAGCCTGGAGATCTCCTGCTTTTATGACTGATCTCCAGCTGACAGAGATCAGTTCCCCTGGAGAAAATGGCTGCTTTGAAGGGTGGACTCTATGGCATTGGACTGTGCTGAGGTCTCTCACCTCCCCTCCCCAAACCCCACCCTCTCTTGGATCCACCCCCAAAGTCTCCAGGAATTTTCCAACCCAGCTCTGGCAAACCTAAGTAGATGCTTCCTTGGTCCCCATGACACTTAAACATTTCATCACAATGCATAATAGTTTTTCCTTATACACGACATTTAAAAAAAAAACCCTTACAAAGGTTGATTCTCTGTCTTTTACAGTAGGGTGCAGAATTACGTCCGTGCTGGAGAAATCTCTGTTCTTTGGTAGAACGGATGATGTAATTTTTCAGTAAAATGTTTTTGCTTTGTCGGCAGTCTTCTTGTAGGAATGATTTTAACCTTAGTTGATACAAATCTGGGTGGTTTCATTCTTCACCCAAAGAGTGATGAACACATGGAATTCATTGCCACGGGAGGTGGCCGTGGCCACAAGCATGGACGGCTTCAAGAGGGAATTGGATAACATGTGGAGCAGAAGTCCATCAGTGGCTATTAGCCACAAGGTATAGATAGGGGCTCTCGGTCTGGGGCAAGGGATGATCTGTACTCTTGGTGCTTGGGGGGGGGCAACAGTGAGAGGGCTTCTAGTGTCCTGGCCCCACTCCTGGACCTCCTGATGGTCCCTGGTATTTCTGGCCACTGTGTGACACAAGAGTGTTGGACTGGATAGGCCATTGGCCTGATGCAGCATTGGCTTCTCTTACGTTCTCATGTTCTTACTGTCTCTTTGACCTCCTCAGTGTAAGGACAAAGCACATAGAATCATAGAATGTTAGAGTTGGAAGGGACCTTACAGGTCATCTAGTCCACACATATAGATTTGCATTAGAAGATGTTCCGTTCTGTGACCCCAACTAAATGGGAAAACTTTGTTGGTGTTAAAGGTGCCACTCAACTTGAACTTTGTTCTAAATGGGAATTAAGTTATTGTTTTTGGTTAAGTAAGAACATAAGAGAAGCCATGTTGGATCAGGCCAGTGGCCCCTCTAGTCCAACACTCTGTGTCACACAGTGGCCAAAACCTAGGTGCCATCAGGAGGTCCACCAGTGGGGCCAGAACTCCAGATGCCCTCCCACTGTTGCCCCCCCAAGCATGAAGAATACAGAGCATCCCTGCCCCAGACAGAGTCTTCCATCTGTACCTTGTGGCTAACATCTTAATGTAAAATTATGAATTAAATGTAATCTTATAAATTACACCATTCAGAGTTGGTAAATGAATTCCTATCTTAACCAGTGTTTTCTGTACTGGCTCCCAACATTCAACAAAATCGAGCTTTTAAAAAAGATTAATGAAACTGTGAGAAACAGGAAAGAAAATCTGGATCCTGAATTTTTGGGATGACTCCTCAATCCTAAAAAAGCTTCCTGAGCTACGTTCGAAGATTGTTGATAGGGGGGGTTGCGATAGCATATACAGACGGTTTTGAATGGGGGATGGTTTATTATGGCTATCCCACCATCTTTCAAGGAGCTCGTACATCGGGATTATCCTCACAACAACCCTTTGAGGCAGACTCAGATGTGGATTGCCAACAAACCCCAGTGGTTTGAGGAAGGCCGGGGTTTTTAATGCTCTAAGCCAGCTGTTCCACCGCACTGGGCAGGCTAGCACTATATATGTACTAGATGTTCTCTGTTTCATTAATGTGGCATGCCTCAGAATCACTGTCATATATTCTGTGCTGGGCCAGATGAGAAAGTCGCTTGCATCTCTTGTGCAAAATGCTTTAACCTTTGTCACACAGGCCTTGTTTTGGGGTTGCGGCCCTTTATGTCATATGGCAAACGGATGCGGGAGCTTCCATTTCAGACCCCAGCAGTGTTTGTTTTTGAAATGTTGGTCTTGCGATTATTACTGAACGGCAGGAGGGGAAATGATTGTTTGCTGGTGGGCCTTCAGATAGCCATAATTATTATTAGAACATTCATGCGCAGAATGACATGTTTTGTTATGCTGGTGTTCAGAGGGGAGAACAGAGATGGGCAAAGAATTTGAGGGATTTGGGCCCCTGACTCAGAGGTGGCTTTGGGAAGGGGGGCATCTGCGGCTCCCTGCGGAATTCAGCTGGAGGGTTGACGGTCTTGATTCTCTTTTGGCCGTACCTCTCTGCTCTTGCTTTCTGAAAGTAACGGAAGTGAAGGAAGACAGAACTGGCAAGGTTGGTGTAGTGGTTAAGTGTGCGGACTCTAATCTGGGAGAACCGGGTTTGATTCCCCACTCCTCCACTTGCACCTGGCTGGATGACCTTGAGCAAGCCATAGGCTTGATAAGAGCAGTTTCTGTCAGAGCTCTCTCAGCCCCACCGACCTCACAGGGTGTCTGTTGTGGGGAGGGGGAGGGAAAGGAGTTTGTAAGCCGCTCTGAGACTCCCTTGGGTAGTGAAGGGCGGGGGATAAATCCAATCTCTTCTTCTCTCTCCATCTGTTGCGTGTTGAGGTTGATTTTTTGCATCCCAGCTGATAAACCCTTTGTGCTTCCTTCTTTAGCCCTGCTGGGGACAGGACTTCAAGGCAACACCATGACTGGCAGGTAGGAAATGGGAAATTCTCGGCCTCGAGAGCATCTGCGGTTTCTCATGAGTTTTATCAGTTGCACGGGGTTGCTCATTCTGCAGGTTTTTACACTGCCTTCGCCTGCTTGCGTGACTGCTGTTTTGGAAGATGGTCCTATGGGGGAGGGGCCGTGGCTCAGTGGAAGAGCCTCTGCCAGGCATGCAGGTCAGGTCCACCGAGGTAGCTCATAATTAAAACAAGTGTAATAAAGGTAACTCATAAAACCAGTTAAAAAAACAGAGCTAAGAAAAGGGGAGAGAGACCTCTGAAGGAAAAAAACCCAGAGGTGAAGACCAATGCTCCCTCTAAGCTGTGGAGTCCTGTGAGCAAAAATTCTACTTTGTGAGCGACTGGCATTAAAGTTGCGAGCGAGCCATTTGGCTGCTGCATAAATTATTGGGTGTTGTAAATAAGAAGCAGGAGACTGACCAGTTATGAAGGTGCACAGAGAGTTTATATACCGTATTTTTTGGACCATAACAGGAAATGATGGGAAAGACCTTAGCCTGAGACCCTGGAGAGCTGTAAAGAGGGGCCGTGGCTCAGTGGCAGAGCCTCTGCCTGGCATGCAGAAGGTCCCAGGTTCAATCCCGGGCATCTCCCGTTAAACAGATCTGGCAGTCGATGATGTGAAAGCCCTCAGCCTGAGGCCTTGGACAGCTGCTGCCAGTCTGAGTAGACAAGACTAACCTTGATGGACCAGTGGTCTGACTCAGTAGAAGGCAGCATCATGTCTGTGTGTATTTATTTTACTTGCTGATTGACAGCATTTAGATCCCACTTCTCTGCCCAATCAGGGCAAACACCTGCTAGAGAACACATGACTGTAATTACATGATCACTAGCATGACAGCTAGGTCTGACAAACAGATCAAACTGATCTATAGTAACTGCTTGCTACCTCTATCACTCTGAGATATATCTCAATATAAATTAGTTAGCTCTGGAGCCATCCTTGCTGAGCTAAGACAAAAATGTGTGAGCCGGAGGCTAAAAAACGGTGAGCTAGCTCAACACTAACTCAGCTTAGAGGGAACACTGGTGAAGATACATATACGAGGCACAGGACAACAAACTAACACATCGGGCTGGAAGGAGAGATCTTTGTGGGAACACCAGGCAAAGCAACAGTTGTGTCCACCTGCTTGAAGAAGACAAGAAGAAAATTATAGAAGAGTACAGACAAGGATCCCTAGGGAGGGAGTTCCAAAATTTTGGCGGTAACCAAAAAAGGGCCCTGTTTGAGTCCTAACGGAAGCTTCCTTCCCTTGAATGGGACGGCTAATGATTGTTCAGAGAACAGCTGTTCCTCTTTGAATTAAAGGTTTTTGAGGGGTCTCGGAATCTGTATTAAAAGCCAGCCAGGCCGTGTTTGATTGACGGATACATCTTTGTCAATAGTCTTGAGACGCAGGGAACTACAATATTGTTACCAGCCGTTCATGCTCTTGCAAGGACTGAAAAACTGCAGAGAAATGGCTGCCTGGGATAGTTAAATAGGGGATGTGTGTGGGAGATGCGTTTTTATATGACTGTTGCTGTAAATGGAGAAGGTGGTTGTCTTCATCTGGATATGTTTAATCCTGACCCGAATTCCTTTATCTTTTTAATGCTGACAGATCATTATGAACCTAATTGGCTGAAATTAGTCCCCCCAAAAAATTAGGTCCTTAGGAATACATCTAGACCCGTTTTACTTATCATCTGCCTCTACAATATTTTATACAATTAAACGCAGGCTTCTAGATATTCAACTTCACCTGACTAAGGCAGCCAGGAAAACCTGTTCCCCAGTTCATCTGGGGTTATCCCAGACACTGGGCCAGACAGCTACTTATTTTTGTTCTCTAACTGATCACCATCAAAGAAGGGCATTTATGTTAGCCAGGTTTAACGTATTGCCATCGGCCATCTTCTCTGGAAGATGCCAAAAAATCCCCTGTGAATTTAGGCAGTGCCCCTATCGAATCAGTTTCCCATGTTCTTTTAAATTGTCCATTTTATACTAAGATCCGAGAAAAAATTCTGGACACCCTTCTTTTTACATAGGGTGGTCTTCCTGAGAGTATCAAGGTCCAGTTGCTACTCTCTGGGCAAAACGCTTCTATAACTTTTAATGTTGCTTGTTTTCTTCAATCTGTAATTCGAACCAGGGAAACTATTAATTGATCAGTTCTTTTTAGTTGGCTGTTCGACAGCCATACCTTTGATGTATTCCTAAATTTTAATGTTATCTTATCTCTTACATGCCAATAAAGGTTGTCTGTCTGTCATCTGGATATGTCCCTTGATGCCGATTACACATCATCCTGACAGTAGCTATTTATCTGTGTCGTTCACAGTCCCCCTTTCTCACTCTGACAGAAGGCAAAATTACATAGCGTAAATCAATGCCGTCAGGAGAGAGGGACGTACATTAAGTAATGTCCTGAACATGGTTTATGACCGAGCAAAAGCAATGGTCAAAGGTTGTTCAATACAGAGCAACAAAGAGACAGTAACAACACCCCAGATTTTATGATTTCAGAGAAACTTAGATATATTGCCACTCCAGTACCCTCTCTGCCATTCTTGGAGGTACCCAGCCACACCTTCTACGTTAGCAAGATGGCGAGCTCCCCTCTCTGCAGTTTTGGAGGGAAGATATCAAAGAGATCTATCCCTGCGGCATCGATGGAATCAGTTGAGCATATTATTCTCTGGAAGATGCCAAAAAAATCCCCTGTGAATTTAGGCGGTGCCCCTGCAGTCAGGGTCCTATCGAATCAGTTTCCCATGTTCTTTTAAATTGTCCATTTTATACTAAGATCCGAGAAAAAATTCTGGACACCCTTCTTTTTACATAGGGTGGTCTTCCTGAGAGTATCAAGGTCCAGTTGCTACTCTCTGGGCAAAACGCTTCTATAACTTTTAATGTTGCTTGTTTTCTTCAATCTGTAATTCGAACCAGGGAAACTATTAATTGATCAGTTCTTTTTAGTTGGCTGTTCGACAGCCATACCTTTGATGTATTCCTAAATTTTAATGTTATCTTATCTCTTACATGCCAATAAAGGTTGTCTGTCTGTCATCTGGATATGTCCCTTGATGCCGATTACCCATCATCCTGACAGTAGCTATTTATCTGTGTCGTTCACAGTCCCCCTTTCTCACTCAGACAGAAGGCAAAATTACATAGCGTAAATCAATGCCGTCAGGAGAGAGGGACGTACATTAAGTAATGTCCTGAACATGGTTTATGACCGAGCAAAAGCAATGGTCAAAGGTTGTTCAATACAGAGCAACAAAGAGACAGTAACAACACCCCAGATTTTATGATTTCAGAGAAACTTAGATATATTGCCACTCCAGTACCCTCTCTGCCATTCTTGGAGGTACCCAGCCACACCTTCTACGTTAGCAAGATGGCGAGCTCCCCTCTCTGCAGTTTTGGAGGGAAGATATCAAAGAGATCTATCCCTGCGGCATCGATGGAATCAGTTGAGCATATTTTGTTTCATTGCTCCTTTTATCAGGAAATTCCCTCAAAATACAATCTTCCCATTGCTTAAAAGATTTTCAGGCTGTTTTGATGTTGATATTCCAAAGAAGCTTTTGTTGGGTGTTAATCGACAGACCACTATTAGTTGTGCAAAAAAAAAAATTTCAACGGCTTGTAACATCTGTTGGGAAATGTTATGTGCAGATTTTAAATTTTAGTAAATCCCAACTGTTGTGTTAGCAGGATTGACCTTTTGCGTTCTTCTATTTACTTCATTGTAAATCTTTGATCTTTTGATTCGTGCTGGTCACAGACCGAATAAATCTGAATCTTAATTTTATGATTTCAGAGAAACTTGGATATATTGCCACTCCAGTACCCTCTCTCCCCTTTTTGGAGGTACCCAGCCACACCTTTTACGTTAGCAAGATGACGAGCTCTCCTCTCTGCAGTTTTGGAGGGGAGATAACAAAAAGATCTATCCTTTCGGCATCGATGGAATCAGTTGAGCATATTTTGTTTCATTGCTCCTTTTATCAGGAAATTCCCTCAAAATACAATCTTCCCATTGCTTAAAAGATTTTCAGGCTGTTTTGATGTTGATATTCCAAAGAAGCTTTTGTTGGGAGTTAATCGACAGACCACTATTAGTTGTGCAAAAAAAAAAATTTCAACGGCTTGTAACATCTGTTGGGAAATGTTATGTGCAGATTTTAAATTTTAGTAAATCCCAACTGTTGTGTTAGCAGGATTGACCTTTTGCGTTCTTCTATTTACTTCATTGTAAATCTTTGATCTTTTGATTCGTGCTGGTCACAGACCGAATAAATCTGAATCTTAAAAGTATTAGGACTGTGGAAATTAAAACCAAGTATCTGGAACAAGCTGAGACAAAGCGTAACTATTACCATGGCATTTTAAACAATGCACAATAGGATATTATTACTTGGTCGGATAAGATACGGGGCCGCGGTGGCTCAGAGGTTAAGACGCTGAGCTGTAGACCAGAAGGTCAGTAGTTCGGCAGTTCGAGACCCGAGTGCCACGTGATGGAGTGAGCTCCCGTCTCTGGCCCATTGTAAATCTTTGGTCTTTTGATTCGTGCTGGTCACAGACCGAATAAATCTGAATCTAAAAGTATTAGGACTGGAAATTAAAACCAACTATCTGGAACAAGCTGGGACAAAGCGTAACTATTACCATGGCATTTTAAACAATGCACAATAGGATATTATTACTTGGTCGGATAAGATACGGGGCCGCGGTGGCTCAGAGGTTAAGACGCTGAGCTGTAGACCAGAAGGTCAGTAGTTCGGCAGTTCGAGACCCAAGTGCCACGTGATGGAGTGAGCTCCCGTCTCTGGCCCCAGCCCCTGCCAACCTAGCAGTTCGAAAGCAAGAAATTGCAAGTAGATCAATAGGGACCACTTCGGTGGGAAGGGAACAGCGTTCCGTGTGAATTGCAAGTAGATAAATAGATACCGCTTCGGTGGGAAGATAACACCGTTTAGTCATGCGGGCCACATGACCACGGAGAAGTCTTCGGACAGCGCTGGCTCTTCGGCTTGGAAACGAAGAGGAGCACTGCCTCCTAGAGTCGGATTCGACTGGCTTTCGAGCAAGGGAAACCTTTACCTAGGATAAGATATTCCAGTGCCCTGATAAGGCCATCCCGACCTGACTCTGATAAAGCTCTTACCCTGTGTGCCGCTTTCTGCGTGCTGGGAGATGAAGGTTTGCACTGCTGCACTCTAAGAAGGCTGTGAGAACGAGTCTTCAGTCCTCTTTATGCACGTGGGGAACTGGGCTGTGGCTCCCAGAAATGTACGGCCGGCAATGTTCCCTCTAAGCTGTGGAGTCTTGTGAGCAAAAATTCTGCTTTGTGCGCTACTGGCATTAGTTATGAGCGAGCCAATTTGGCTAGTGCATACATTAGTTTGCTGTGGAGCCATCCTTCCTGAGCTAGGACAAAACTGTGAGAACTGGAGGCTAAAAAACTGTGAGCTAGCTCACACTAACTCAGCTTAGAGGGAACACTGACGGCCGGGGCTCGAGAGCCCTCCCTGCCACTGAACAGTGTGGTCTGAGGTGTCCATCTCCATTCACCAATCTGTAAAGAGGCAATAACTTACGTCTGCTCCCCAGTGAGTCAGCCCCAGCCCCCCCCCGGGTCTTCGAGATCTTTCCTGTCACTTACTAAGCGACCGTTTTAATTTGAACAGCTAGATTAAGATCCGGGGGTAGGGGTTTTTTTGAGAGTGAAAGCTCCCTTCATCAGATGCGTCAAGAGCTTTGACTCTTGAAAGCTCATACCTCTCAAAATCTTGTTGGTCTGTAAGTTGCTGCTGGACTAGCTGTTCTACTGCGGTGGCCCTCCGAAACTATTTAAACTGGAGGTTCCGGACCTTCGGCATGCAAAGTAAATGCTGCACGTTCAGACAGTTGCTGTAGCAGTATGACTGCTGATACAGACTCGAACCCGCTCTGTGCTCTGGCACTGTAGGCCAGCTTGGCTGGGAGGTTTTGGTGAACATAAGAACATAAGAGATGCCAATGTTGGATCAGGCCAAAGGCCCATCCAGTCCCACACTCTGTGTCACACAGTGGCCAGAAATACCAGTGCCATCAGGAGGTCCAGCAGTGGGGCCAGGACATTAGAAGCCCTCCCACTGTTGACCCCCCCCCAAGCACCAAGGAGACAGAGCATCACTTGCCCCAGACTGAGAGTTCCTATCTATACCTTGTGGCTAATAGCCACTGATGGACCTCTGCTCCATATGCTTATCTAATTCCCTTTTGAAGCCGTCCATGCTTGTAGCCGCCACCACTTCCTGTGGCAGTGAATTCCATGTGTTAATCACTCTCTGGGTGAAGAAGGACTTCCTTTTATCCGTTCTAACCCGACCACTCAGCAATTTCATGGAGTGCCCACGAGTTCTCGTACTGTGAGAAAGGGAGAAAAAGTACCTCTTTCTCTATCTGCTCTATCCCATGCATAATCTTGTAAACCTCTATCATGTCATCCCTCAGTCGTCGTTTCTCCAAGCGAAAGAGCCCTAAGTTTAACCCCGTCTGCCCTTTGTCGCCCCCAGGTTGTGGTCCAAGGCCACTTTTGCTGGCTACAAGCGAGGTCTCCGCAACCAGAGGGAGCACACGGCCCTCCTGAAGATCGAGGGGGTTTACTCCCGCAATGAGACAGAGTTCTACTTGGGCAAGAAATGCGCCTACGTGTACAAAGCGAAAAAGTAAGTGCCCGATTGCCCGATGGTGCTGGAGAAGGAGCCTCTGGTTTTGTGTGTGTGATGCTGTAACACGCGTAGAGATGTGAAGGCCCGGGAAAAACCCGTTCCTCCCCCCCCCCCCCCCCCCCCCCCCCCCCCCCCCCCGCTCTCCCCTTTGCAACGTTTTATTTTAGCATGATGAATTAAGATATTTTAAGACAAGGTGTTCAAATATTTTCCAAATCATTCTAAAAAAAATACGTATGGTATCAGATTGATCTAATTGCTGTGCACTGAGGACAAGCAAGTCCTAGGTTACAAACGGAACTCTCCAATGCAAGAACAAGATGCATTTCTTCCTTTAGGAGGTGCGATTGTCACAAGAAAATAAAAAGGTTTCAGTTTTGTTTTTGCATGTGGGTGGGTATTCTGTTTGTAATAATTGTTTGGATACACTATATTTTTAATATGCTAGTTGTGATAATTTCATGCCAAGTAAAAATGCCCATAGTCATATTGTATGTTCCTACAGTAACAGAATGACTTTCAATCTAGAAAAGATAAAAGAAGTGCTAATGTAGCATTTTCTTCCATTTTCCCGAAAATTTCCGTTTTCCCCAGAAAAAAACCGGGTTGTTTTCCTAGCTTCAAAATTTCGGGAAATTTTACATCTCTAAACACGCAGCACATTTGGAACACTGTGGCCTTGGATGCTGCTGTGTGAATAACCAAGGTTGGAGGGAGGAGGAATATTGAATGGACTTGGGCCTGGGAGACTTGAGTTCAGATTCCCACTTGGCCGTGATGGTTTGTGGGCAAGTTGCATTTTTAGCTTAGCCTACATGGTGAGGTCACTGTGGCGGTGCAGTGGGGTGACATCTAGCTTGCTGCTCTGACCTCCGTGGTAGAAGAGTGGGTTGCAAATATTTGGAGACACACACAGACCCCCACACGCATGCACACAATTAAAACTTTTAAAATTCTGGTCCTGAAGAAGTCTGCAATCATTTCTGTTCCAGGACGAGGATTTTATGATGTTGCTAAAAATTCTAGCATCTGGTAACTGGGAGTAGTTTTTCTAGACTGCCAGTGACCCCTTACCTGCCCGTTCCCCACCTGAAGTTTAGAAAAGGCCTCGTTTGCAAACCGCAGCCCTCTTTCCTGTCAGAGCTCAGCTAGTGGACTCGGGATTTTTCCTTTCCTGTTGCAGCTTACGTAGAGTAGACGGTGGCTTCTCTTATGTTAGAGTGCAGTGTAGTGGTTAAGTGTGCAGACTCTAATCGGGGAGAACCGGGTTTGATTCCCCACTCCTGCACATGCAGCCAGCTGGGTGACCTTGGGTCAGGCACAAGTTCTCTTGGAGCTGTTCTCTCAGGAGCAGTTCTCCATAGAGCTCTCTCAGCCCCATCGACCTCCCAGGGTGTCTGCTGTTGGGAGGGGAAGGGAAAGTTGTAAGCCGCTCTGAGACTCCCGAGTGAAGGGCGGGATATAAATCCAATCTCTTCTTCTTTGACCTCCCCCTTTCCTGCAGGTTAATCAGTTAGACAAAGATCGGTGTCTGACCCTTAGGCCCACAGAAAACTCTGGTGGGGCTTGAACCCTCGGGCAGCACTTTTGAGGCCAGCATTCTTGTGTTCTGTCTGACCCTGGAAACCAGCAATGCCATATCCCCCCCGTGGTCTTAAGTTACTATTCTTGCACTGCTGCAAGCATTTTCCCCTGACCTTTCTTGCTCTCTTCTCCTCCTGCCGTGGCCAAAGGACACCCTAACGGGGCACGCTTTGGAAGCAAAAGGCACTCAGTGGAATGTGCACCAGCACATCCGTTGGTCTTTAACTACAGTATTGGGCAATTCCTTGCGGAGAAATTGCCTTCCATATCTCCTCGCGTTTGCAGTGCTTTTCAGGGGAGGCTGTCTGCCTGTTTTGCCGAGAGAACGTAACTGTGGGAGTTCTGAGAGCACCTCTGCAGTCAGCGGCAAGGGTCGCGGGCTTCATCGTTTGTCCGTTTCTCTTTGCCAGCAACACAGTGACGCCCGGCGGCAAGCCCAACAGGACCAGAGTGATCTGGGGGAAGGTGACCCGTGCCCACGGAAACAGCGGCATGGTGCGAGCAAAGTTCCGCTCCAACTTGCCTGCCAAAGCCATTGGACACAGGATCCGAGTGGTGAGGACCCCGGGGGGAGTGGGGGGCCTGGGCGGGAACGTTCGTCTCGCGAGCGTGGTGCTCTGTCCTGGAGAGCCAGTTTGGTGCAGTGGTTAAGTGCGCGGACTCTTATCTGGGAGAACCGGGTTTGATTCCCCCACTCCTCCACGTGCACCTGGCTGGATGACCTTGGGCAAGCCGTAGCTCTGATAAGAGCTGTCCTTGAAAAAGAGCAATTTCTGTCAATAGTTCTCTCAGCCACGCCTGCCGCACAGGGTGTCTGTTGTGGGGAGGGGAAGGGAAAGGAGTTTGTAAGTCCCAGAGGGATGTTCTTTAGGCTCAATCAGAGTGCTGGCTATGACTTTTAAAGCCTTTCATGACTTGGGACCCACATCTTTGAAGGATCGCCTCCTTGTATCAGGCTGTCTTCTTAGGGTGGTTCGTCTGGCGCTGACCAAAGGCCAGGCCTTTTCCATCCTGTCTGGCAGAGTTTCCTCTAAGTTGCACTAGGGGGCGCTGGCGCACAACATTTTAGCTGGCAGCGCAGCCTGCACGTGAACTGAGGTCTCCGGTTCTGTAAAACAGGCTCCCTGAAAGGGGGGGGGGGGCCCCCCGCCTTGGGGAGGACGCCAGGTTGGTTTGAAACCGAAGACGTTTTTAAACCATTATTGCAAGCCCGCTCGAACCACGAGGAAAGGTAGGATCCTAGAATCATAGAATGTTCGAGTTGGAAGGGATCTTGCAGGTCATCTAGTCCAGTCCCCTGCACTCTGCAGGAGCAGAGCCGAAAGAGAGCCCTGCAACATACCCGAAAGAGGGTCGTCCAGCCTCCGCTTAAAACAGGCTCCCTGAAAAGGGGGGGGGGCCCTCCCGCCTTGGAGATGATGCCAGGCAGGCATCTTTTCCAGGAGAGACGGGGGAGGGATCTGGGTTTCCCCATTTTGTTTTTGGTTTGAAACCGAAGACGTTTTTAAACCATTATTGCAAGCCCGCTCGAACCACGAGGAAAGGTAGGATCCTAGAATCATAGAATGTTCGAGTTGGAAGGGACCTTGCAGGTCATCTAGTCCAGTCCCCTGCACTCTGCAGGAGCAGAGCCGAAAGAGAGCCCTGCAACATACCCGAAAGAGGGTCGTCCAGCCTCCGCTTGAAAACGTCCAGCGAAGGAGCATCCACCACCTCCCGAGGCAGACTGTTCCACTGCTCAACCCCTCTGACAGTTAGGAAGCTTCTCCTGATATTGAGCCGGTATCGACTCCCTATAATTCCCACCCGATACTCTAGTCTCGCAATCCTGAGCAAGGGAGAATAGATCTGCTCCGTCTTCCACATGACAGCCCTTCAGATACTTGAAGACCGCAATCATGTCCCCTCTAAGCCTTCTCTTTCCCAGGCTAAACATATACGTGTTTTAATAAATAATAAGCCAGCATCACGTGTAATCCAAGCCAAGAAGAAGGGGGCAAACACTTTGGCTTGAGTCCTGCACAAGTCTCTGGATCACATCAGAAGCCGTTGCGCCTGCATTTGGTCTTTCTGCAATGCCAGAGACAGTTGTCACAGAAGTTAAATCCGAGGGAGAGCCAAGAGACCCTTAAAGACAAGGGCTCTGTGGACTCTTGTGATGGGGGGAGGGCGGTCTTGTCGCTGGGTAGAAAGGGCCACGGCCTCTCTGGGAAGACACTGTTGTGCTTTGGGAGACGCAGCTGATGGGTTTTGGGATCTGGTCTCCAAGGCAGCTGCTTTGTCCTGCTGGACAAACAGTTCATGGTCCTGGCGTTGAAGAATCTTTTCTGTAGTCTTGAAACGTCCCGGGTGTGTAGAGCCAAAGAAATGTGATCTCTCCAAAGGTCTGGAAACAAGACAGACGCACACAAGAATGCCTGCACGCGATGCAGCAGATTTACAGCATATTTTCCAGAAGTGGGTTTTCTCAACCTGCACAACGCGTCAGCCTTCCTTACCGTTTCTTCCCCTTTCTTTTTGCAGATGCTGTATCCGTCTAGAGTCTAAATGTGGACAGAAAATAAAGTTTACAGTATCTTACCCTTTTGTATATTTGGTTTTCTCTTGCCCTTTTGTTACCAGTCACTGAGGTACAGACATGGGGGAAGGCGATGTGTCCCACAAACATCGGTCAGCAGAAGATTATTTGCCACTAAAGGCCCCGACATACAATTGATAAAGCAGTGAGCCGCATTTTCAGGCCGATCTCCATTTCTAGCGTTCTTGCCCCCACCTGTGGCCTCTGGGACTTCAAGTGTCTTGTAGACCTCCCATAGTGAACAGCCTAATTCAGCCTCCTCGTGGCCAGCACTTAGCAGTAAGCCTGATCTCAGGGCAGTAGCAGATTCTTCATAACATTAAAGATTAGTTTGGGGTGGTGTCACGGCTCAGGTGGTGTGTCACCTGACACTGCCACCACTCTGGATTTAGGATCCCTTGAGAAGGCCCAGAGCACCCTCCCAAGGCCTTCAGACCTCCCTTGTTTGGCCGAATAATAGGCGTGAGGACCAGGCAGAGTGAACAGTGAAAATAGTTTATTGTAGAAGAGGCCAAACCAACACGGTGCAGAATAATAACAGTAAGTGGGTGAAAAGAAAAGAAATCGAATGCCCTAACGCGCCTGAATATATACTGTCCCCAGCTCACTGTTCCAAGTGGCACTAGACTACTCACCCTTCCCTCAGGATGAGGGTCTCTCCCCCACAGCAGCCTCAGTCCCTTCTGGCTCTGCCCTCTGGGAAGAAAGAACAGCGTTTCCTACTGCTCCAGATCTTTTATTCCAAGCCCTCCTCTTTTCCTATTGGTCAGTTTTGGCTCCAAAACCTCTCAGGGGCTTCTGGGAGTTGTAGGCCCAGCCTCACCTACTGCTAGCCAGGCTCCCTGGGCCTAGTAAGCCTCTGGTGGCATAGCCCAGATCATGACAGGTGGTTTTCTCGATCCTTCTGCTGTTTATATATACCATGAACTTTCCAGGCTTAGAATCGTAAAGAGTTGGAAGGGGCCATAGAGGCCATCTAGTCCAACCCCCCCACACACTTAATGCAGGATCAGCCTAGAGCATCCCTGACAAGTGTTCATCCAGCCACTGCTTGAAGACTGCCAGCGAGGGGGAGCTCACCACCTTCCTAGGCAGCCGATTCCACTGTGGCACAACTCTGACTGTCAAAAAAGTTTCTCCTAAGATCCAGCCGGTCCCTTCCCGCCCTTAATCTAAACCCATTCTTGCGAGTCCTCTCCTCTGCTGCCCACAGGAACAGCTCCCTGCCCTTCTCCAAGTGACAGCCCTTCAGAGACTTCAATAGAGCCATCCTGTCCTCAGTCTCCTCCAAACTAAAAATTCCCAGGGCCCTCAGCCTTTCCCCATGGGGCTTGATCTTCAGGCCCCTATCATCCTCGTCACTTGCTTCTGCACTGACTCCCCTCGGTCCACGTCTGTTTTGAAGTGAGGCTCCCAGAACTGTGCACAGTGCTCTATGTGTGGCCTGACCAATGCGGTCTACAGCAAGACTGGCATCTTGTGATTTGGAATTTATGCCCCCTGTTGATACACCCCCAAAACTGCATTAGCCCTTTTTGCCGCTGCATCACAGTGACTGCTCATATTTCACTTACACTCTACTTGAAGATCTTGTTCCCACACACCACGACCCGAGAAGTATGTCCCCCATCCAGTATGCGTGATTCTCATTTTTGTTACCCGGATGTAGAACTCGGTGTTTAGCCCTGTTGAATAGCATCTTGTCCAAATCCATCTATTTTTCCAATGTGTTCATATCTCATTGAATTCTGTATCTTCTGGAGTGCTCACTACTCAAACGCCAGTTTGGTGTAGTGTTTAAGTGCACGGACTCTAATCTGGGAGAACCGGGTTTGATCCCCAATCCTCCGCTTGCACTTGGCTGGATGGCCTTGGGTCAGTTACAAGTTCTGTCAGAGCTGTTCTTGAAAAAAAGAGCAGTTTCTGTCAGAGCGCTCAGCCCCGCCTGCCTCCCAGGGTGTCTGTTGTGGGGAGGGGAAGGGAAAGGAGTTTGTGAGCCGCTCTGAGACTCCCTTGGGTAGTGAAGGGCGGGGGATAAATCCAATCTCCTTCCCAATTTTGGTATCATCTGCAACGCTCCCTCTAAGCTGTGGAGTCTTGTGAGCAAAAAATCTACTTTGCAAGCTACTGGCATTAAAGTGAGTGAGCGATTTGGCTACTGCATAAATCACTTTGCTCTGGGACCCTCCTTCCTGAGCGAAGACAAAAATGTGTGAGCCGGAGGCTAAAAACCTGTGAGCCGGCTCACACTAACTCTGCTTAGAGGGAACACTGGTCATCTGCAGGTTTCATGAGCAGTCCCTGCACCCCTCATCCAGATTGTCTATAAAAAATACTGGAAAGTACCAGGCCCAGAACTGAGCTTGGTGTGACATGAACACTTAAAAAGGGAGTGAAGATGTATGGTGGCGGCTGCCTCCTCTAACCGTCCTCCCAGTGGTGGAGGGAGAGCTGAATGGGAGGGGCTCTCAGCTTGAGCAAGGTCTACGCATGATGCAAGAATACCTGGCTGCCATCTTTCTCTTCCTTTTGTTTTTGCTGTCATAAGATGAGCCCTGCTGGATCAGACCAGTATGGGTCCCTCTAGTTCAGCCTCCTGTCTCACACAGGGGCCAACCAGTCCCTCTGTAGGACCAAGAACAGGACAGAGAGGCCAAGGCCTTCCTAAGAACGTCAGAAGAGCCCTGCTGGATCAGATCAGGGGTCCATCTAGCCCAGCATCCTGTCTCACATAGTGGCCAGCCAGTTCCTCTGTAAGGTCAACAACAGGGCAGAGAGGCCGAGGCCTTCCTAAGAACACCAGAAGAGCCCTGCTGGATCAGACCAGTGAGGGCCCCTCTAGTCCAGCCTCCCGTCTCACACTATGGCCAACCAGTTCCTCTGGAGGGCCAACGACAGGGCAGAGAGGCCGAGGCCTTCCCCTGATGTTGCCTCCGGGCTCTGGGATCCAGATGATTAGTGCCTCTGAATATGGAGGTTCCCCTCAGTCACCATGGCTAGTAGCCCTTGATAGATTTATCCTCCATGAATATCTAATCCCTTTTTAAAGCTGCTTCTTCCTGTAGCCATCAGTGCACCCTCTGGCGGCAAATTCCACATTTTAAGCACTCTGTGTAAGCTCTGAGAGAACTTGTGGCTGACCCAAGCCAGCAGCTGCATGTGGAATTGTAGGGAATCGAACCCAGTTCTCCCAGATTAGAGTCCATGCACTTAACCACTACTACACCAAACCAACGAAGTTTAATTCTTGGTATCATTCTGCTCATGTACACACAGAGCTTATGGCCAGAACAAAAATTTGTTGGTCTTAAAGGTGTTGCTGGACTCAAAATTTTGTTCTGTTGCTCAGACCGACGTGGCTACTGTCTAAAACTATTATGCTCCTGGGGTTCATGAACCAAAGCAACTCCACTTTGAGTTTTTGGTTAAAGATGAGAAATAATAGCTGAGTAGGAAAACACTGCTTGCTTGTTTGTAGGAAAGGGAAATTCCTTCATATGGTAGGCAGTATCATGAGCTCCACACCAGGCAACACAGTTTAGAGAGGTTACCTAATGGTCACAGATAACATTTTTCTCTTGGAGTGGCCCTGAGAGCTCTAGGGAGTTACCTGCATGGCAGTGTTCCCTCTAAGCTGAGTTAGTGTAAGCTAGCTCACAGTTTTTTAGCTTCCAGCTCACACATTTTTGTCTTAGCTCAGCAAGGATGGCTCCAGAGCTAACTAATTTATGCAGCAGCCAAATTGCTGGCTCGCCACTTTAATGCCAGTCGCTCACAAAGGCCCCAGTCACACGGCAAAGTTGCTGCGGGAGAGGCACGGAAGGTGGGCGGATTATCCAGGCGCGATCACACCCCAACATCTGGGAAGTGGAGCGCACCAGTGGCTTACCGCCGACAATGCACATTTAAAAACTAGTACCTCCAAGGTACTAGTAAACGTTTGCCACGGGCTGCCTCCAGACGCTCGTGGTGTAATCGCGCTCAGGACGGATGGCCCCAGACAAACTAATTCATGCAGCAGCCAAATGGCTCGCTCGCAACTTTAATGCCAGCAGCTCAGAGTATAATTTTTGCTCACAAGACTCCGGCAGCTTAGAGAGGGAGCATTGCTGCATGGTCAAGAATTGATGGAAAGCTGTTGGAGCAAGTATTTATTATGATAACTATGTACGGGATACAAAGGCATGTGATGTTAGACAAAGGAATGGGTATCTGCACATTTCCAAGAGACTGCGCCCAGTTATAACTTCACTCGCTCTTTGGAATTCAGGCTTTCGAGGCTCAGGTGCCCATCTGTTCGAATACATTTTTCTGCTCCCTTCAGAAGCCTCACTGCTTCTGATGGGGACTCTCAAACCGGGCAAGGGCCCGCTTAGCTTCTACTCCCATGAAATGGTGTGTTTTTGACTGTTAACCAGAAGGGGGCAGGCTTGCCTCAGTGGGTCTAGCAGTGCCCTCAGATGTGGACTTTAATCTGGGAGGACCGGGTTTGATTCCCCACTCCTCCTCCACGTGCAGCTGCGTCAGTCACAAGTGCTCCCAGAGCTGTTCTCTCACGAGCAGTCCCCGAAAGATCTCTCTCAGCCCCACCTACCTCCCAGGGTGTCTGTTGTGCGGAGGGGGAGGGGGAGGAGATAATAAGCCATCTATCTATCTATCTATCTATCTATCTATCTATCTATCTATCTATCTATCTATCTATCTATCTTGCTTAAGTGCGTGGACTCTAATCTGGGAGAACCGGGTTTGATTCCCCACTCCTCCACATGCAGCTGCTGGTGTGACCTTGGGTCAGTCACGAGCTCTCTCAGAGCTGCTCTCTCACGAGCAGTCCTCGAGAGAACTCTCTCAGCCCCGCCTGCCTCCCGGGGTGCCTGTTGTGGGGAAGGGAAGGGAAAGGAGATAGTAAGCCGCTCTGAGACTCCTTTGGGTAGTGAAAGGCTGGGTATAAATCCAATCTCCTCCTCCTCCTTGCATTTGCCTCTTCCCCCACAGGTGCCCGCTTGACTG